CTATAAAGTTATACATGATCCTAAGGGAGGGAACAGGGATGGAGTGGGGATAAAAATCAGCCTGGACTTTTCACTTGGACCCAACTCTTTAGGTAAGAAAGTAAAGTGTATTACAGAAGCTAGTTAGCTACTGCTACTCACATTTACCTACAGTGTCTGTGTGACACATGGGAGCAGAGACTTGAGGACGGAGCCACTGATGGAGTGAAGCAGCCAGAGGAGATGTTCAGCTAATGTCCAGGTTAAGAAATGGAACCCGAACTGTTGTTTTTACCTCTTTTGGAGGGGTCTAAGTTTTAACCCACCCCCCCCCAAAAAAAAAAAAAAAAAAAAAAAAAAAACATAATCCGAACAATGCCCAGTGTACAGCTGAGGACATCTCTGCTCACCAGAGCTGCTGCTGAAAATGGCCCCAACAAACACACAATTTCCCCCTGTTTGAGTAATGCATGTTAGAAGCTACAGTGTTTGGGAAATGCCTTTTTAAATTACTGAAACTTCATACAGCAGGGGTTTTCAAAGTGTGGAAAAGGGAGCCCCCCCCCCCCCAGAGAATTTTGATCAACTCTATCTTTACTTTTTAAACATCTTTTTCAACACACTTTTTGAATAAAATTCCATATTATACATTGTAAGGTCTTTTTCCGCAACTACTTCTTAAGTCAAATAATTATTGAACACATCAAATTAAAAACACAACAAAAGAAATCCTCACTGCATATAATTCACAGCGCTGCTTTTCATATCACTGTATCAACATTGTGTGTAAATCCTTTCTATAATGCTCTCAGCAAAAACCTGGTTTTGCCTCATTATTATGTGACCCTGAGGGGCAAAGAAGAGCTGAGTGAATCAGTGTGCGGTGCACAGCTCTACAAAGAAGTAATGGTACAAGTCACGACATTAGACATACTTTATATTAGACCTATATGAGAAGTGTGAATAAATCATCAGTTGATTATGGAACTGTGGAAACATTTAAGTGATTTACCGAGAAGTAAGAGAACACTTCTCTGCAGAGCCTCATGGATGTCTCTTAACGTTGTGCAACACAAAATACATCACAAAGAGACTCAGACCTTCTGAGGCTGTGTTCTGATGTTCCAGCTGACTCATCCAAACGTCTGAAGCACATTTTCAGTACGTTGTGCACCAAAGTTAAGACAAAAAACCACAATAAAACTCTGATTAGCCGACCACATGCATTTCAAAGACCAACCAACAAACCAGAAAAACAACAGCAGCAGCGAAATAACAGGCTACAATATACTATTATACACTATATTGAATATCCCCAAGAAATGTGCAGATTCCGTCATTCAGCATCATCATCATAAGAGCAGTTGTCTAACTAATAGGGATGGAACAGTTCATGAAAAAAAATCCATCCCGTTCGGTTTGCCTGTCTCGGTTTGGGGCATGTGTGTATTGTTCGGTTCAGGTTATGCCAAAAAAGCCTTGAGCAAGTAACCCAGTGAAGTTTTGTTCATGCTAGTGGCAACACATCCAATATGTTGGCTTATCTACGGAGAGATCACCCCAGTGTGTCAATTGACATTACAAGGAGTTGAGAGTTGGGTAGAAAGAACAATTTCTACTCCCCGCAGCTTTTAAACAGCCTCTCAGTGAAAAGTCAGACAGGGCAAAAGCCAAAACTGAAGCATTTCCTAGCAAAAGATATGCAGCCTTATGCTGTGGTGGAGGATGCAGGATTTCAGAATATGATTAAAGTACTTGAGCCATGGTATAATATCCCCTCCCTGCCGCCACTTCAGCAACATGGTAATTCCCGAAGTTTATGAAGATACACGACGAGGAATTGTCAAAGAGTTGTCTGACGTAGCTTACGTAGCTCTTACTCCTGATGGATGAACCTCCAGGGCCACTAAAGTTTCCTAACTGTGACCGCCCATTACTTCGGAGTGGGAGATGAAAGACCCGCCCCCTTTTGCTGCACCAAAATGTCACCTAGCTTTAAAAGGTATAACTTGTAAGAACATGCTACTTGCTCCACCTCCATAGGGGGCAACATTTCACCTCTTCGCCCCTGTCCAGTTAATCATGTTGTAGTTTTCCCCATTTTCCTTGTAATTTATTATTTATATGTGCATTTATTGTTGATAAAATCGTTGATAGCACTGAAACTAATTAAGAGTACTTGTAATACAAACAGTATGTTTTTAATCACCTATAAAAATATGAAGGCAAGGGGATACTGCATGACACATGGGTGTCAGGCTACAGCAGCATGAGGAAGGGATGATGACATCATCACAAAGGCAGAATCAGAGAATGAGGTTTATTGCCAGGTAGGTTTTTACTTACAAGATATTTGGCTTGGTGTTTGGAGCAGGATACAGTTCACATTAACAGGAAATAACAATAAAAAGGTAAAACACTACAACAGCCAAAAAGATAAATATACATACATACACACATTCAAAAATAAAACAATGAAAAAACTATGTATGAAAGTCTTGACAAAACTCCTGCTGAGCAGGATGTGCAAAAGATCACAGTACAGACAATATGTGTTCTGTGCAGGGATAATATTTCTAATTAATACAAGGTGTTACTGTAATGTGGTTGTTGATGGTTGATGAGACCAGACCCAGAAGAAAAGGCAGGTGCTGGTCCATCACTGGGGAGGACTGGACTGGAATTCTGGTCCTGATACAGACAAACATGTGATAGGACAATTAGTTTAGATGATACAGGTTCTTTATATTCAAATGTGTGTGTATAATAAATATTAGAGATAGATATGAATATGCTAAAATAAATACAGTATTAGGTTCTGGATCAAACAGTCTCTTTGTCTCACTTGTAAAAGAAAAGTTACTGACGCATCTATCTGGACAGCAGCCGCAGGAACAGGCTAAACTCTGCTGCATCGCTAAAACATCTGTCCACATCATCAATCATACATTTATGCCACTTGAAGTGTTTGTCAGTGCGGTTTGTCATTTGGACTGATGATACTTTTCGCTACAGACCAACATCAGATGTTACTGCGGAAAAACGCACCAGCATTCACCCATGTTTTGCTTCTTTGCTGTTGAACGTGGTTTCTTGTCGGAGCGGTTCTTCGGGATGGAGATAAAGATCGCTTGCAAGGTGCTTCAGACATCTCTGCGTTTCTGTGATGCTCCTCAGCAGCTTTTTTGTTGTTTTTTTTTGTTTTTTGTCAGAGCTGTAGCATAACTTCAAGCTCAGGCGGAAATTCTTCTCTGCGTGACTGAGGGCAGACTAGACGCTACACTGACTCACACAGCATCTAGTGTCACAAAGTGGTTTTACAACACGGTCCAGGACGCGGCTAGTTGGTTAGCATGCTCATTTCAGTAGATATCTCTAAAATACAATAGATGGTGGTCTTGGTCATGATACTATTGACAGTGTTGATTAATTTTTTGAACATTTTAAACAAAAATTCTGGCCAGATTTTGCCAAATCTTACACTTACAAAAATTGTAAATGGTGGATTATTAGGCTATATTTTATGATGATGTATGGTATTTCCAGAGTATTAAAAAAGAAAAAAAACCATAGTAGCCTATACCGAACCGTACCGAAAACCGTGATCCCAAAGCCGCGAACTGAACTGTGGATTTTGTGAACCATTCCACCCCTACTAACTAACTACTAAAGTTAGTAACAACAATTCACAACATCAAGACCAAACCCAGCTGCTACAATAAGCAATCAAAAAACCACAAGACAATAAAATGAAATAGTATTCCTGCATATTTGAATTTTATTCTGCATCTGAACGTTACATCAAACTGTTGCAGAATGGCCTTCCAATATCATGAAGGATGTTCATCAGTGCTCCACATCTGCAGTGTCAACGCTGTGCATCAAAGCACCAAACTCCTTCTTTATCTCCTGCTCTCCTCTTTAATCTAGACTCATAACGTTAGTGAGTGGATGCGGCCAAAAAATGAGACAGGATCTCCCGTTGTCACAATTTTATTTTCAAGATAGGATGTTAATAAAAAAAATTTTAAAAAAAAAGAAAGAAAATCATTTTTAAAATGTACGCATAGTGTGTACAGGATTACGGCTGCCGGTGCCACTGCACACTAAAAATCGATCAATTTTGCTACCTGCATAGTTGAGTTTAGCTCTACCTCTGCTTCAGTAGGAACCAATGGGCTTGGGACAAAGAGCCAAACAGGGTAGGGGAAGTGTTACAGACCCAACACATTGCATTTTCTGGCAATATGAAAATACATAATATTTACAGCTTTTACATAATCCTTAACAAATATATTAGTTCATATATGTAGACAACAATTTCCAAAATAACAGTGACTTCATGAGAAAGTGCTCAGTGCTTTGCCTCTATGTAGCCACAGAGGTTGCAGCTGCCACAACAGGCGTGCGAGTTGGGCATCAGTGTGTTGCTCAAGGACACTCTGACATTCTGTAAAGAGGAACTGGGAATCAAACCAGCAGCAGCCGCCAGAACGCCTCCTCTGCTCCTGCGCTACGTGAAAGTGGGGGTTGCGTTTAAACTGCTCCACCGAGTCCCTGAGTGGAGTGAAACGTGATTCCTATGATGGAGGTTTTATTTACAAGAGGGAGGAATAATCTGCCTCTCTTGTTGTGTCATGCCAGGCTGCAAATAATAATCCCCTTGTGTGTGTGTGTGTGTGTGTGTGTGTGTGTGTGTGTGTGTGTGTGTGTGTGTGTATTTTCCCTTGGAGCATGTAGGCTACAGATGTTCAGCCCCTCTCCCTCTCTCTCACTCTCTCTCTCTCTATATATATATGTGTGTGTGTGTGTGTGTGTGTGTGTGTCTCGTGAGGGGATAGGTGCAGACAGTGTATAGGATCGCACACACACACACACACGCACACACGCGCGTTACTCTCCCGCAGCCTCGCGTGGCAGAGAGTCTGATGCCATGACCGAGGACGCGTCCCTCCTCTGCTGAGAACCATGCGCTGCCGGCTGACCCCTGCTGGAATGAACCGACGGAAAGGGGCTTTCAAGGGACTCACCTGTGGATTTGCGCCGTCACGATGCCTTATTTGACCAAACCTCTGATTTTACTTCTGTGTCTGCTCGTTACCGGTGAATGCCGTAAGCACGGCCACCGGGTGCGGAGATGGACCGGTACCGTGGAGACCCAGAAGCATGGCACGTAAGTGCAGGATTCAGGGCAAATGAATACAGGGATACATGAGAGGAAAGGCGAAGAGCTGTGCGCACATTCGAGCAGATAACAGATAAAATAACATTTTTAATTGTCATTATCATAATATTTACCAGGTAGCTACATCACACAGGAGGTGAGTGCAGGGTAATGACAGGTCTGAGGCTGCATGGGTTTAAGATGCTGGGGAGTAGTGGAGCTCAGTTGTCATGATATTTTAAATGATTCAAATTTTTCATAAGAAAAAAGAAACTGGAAGTCAGAAGTCAAATCTGCAAATTTTTAGGAAGAAATGAATTATGGAGCATTTGTTAAATGAAATGTATGTTTTGTAATTAATCTGAAATATAACTTTTTTGACACCTTTGATTTTTTTCTTTGCTTGCTGAGAAGCCACAGTTCAAGTGTGAACTTGAGGTGTGGTCAGGAGGGATTAGCTCTGCTTTATTACAGAATTGCCTGGTGTTGCTGAAAGGCGTGCAACAGTTTGTTAACACCTGTCAACAGAAAAAAACAAGACGATTAAACACATTGTGCTGATTCACACAGGAGCGGAAAATCATGAAATCATTTCAAAGGTTAAAATTACAACAGCACTACAAACGATATATTTACTGCAGTTAAATCTGTGCACAGTGTCCAGCCACATTCACCCACACACACACACACACATACACACTCACACACACACACACACACACATCCATACACTGATGGTGGTGGATCTGCCTGTAGGACACTGACCTGCTGCTCAGGTGGAAACGTGGGTTCAGGACTCCAGAACAAATGCATCATCCGCCTCAAACAACCAGACTAAGACCTCTAGTGGCTGTGTGGATTATGACTGTGTCTGTCAGGGGAAAGGTGGAGGTGACATGATGCCGATGTGGAGCCTCAACACTGTGAAGGGTGGAGGCCAGGGTGGATGAAGGACTGTTCCAACATCAGCTCTGGTTTCTTATGACTTTTAGCTAAAACCTCAACCGAGTACTTTTTTGTTTGTTTGTTTGTTTGTTTGTTTGTGTGTTTAAACACACATTTGAAGGCCGTGGCTCCAAACCTCTCGTTGCTCAGTTTGGAGTTGGACTTGTACAATGAGTTGGATCTAAGAATCAGAGTCTGCACTCACAGTCTGTATGAAAAAACCTCATATCTTTATGTTGAAGTGGCGAAGCCCTCTAGTGGACATGTGGATTTTGTGGTTGTGGTGTGGTGGTTGTGTGAATTTTCACTCTAGTTTTGTCATGAGTGAAGGAGGACGTAGTGTGATGTTGCTGTAGGGACACACAGTCTGCAGAGGGAGGGGTAGGGGAGGTTTGGGGTTTGGATAAATGGATCCAAAAACTGTCAAACTGTTCAAAACTGCCTCCGAGAAATGACTGTAATTTACTGTATATGTTACTAAATTGTTTTTCCCAATGACATTGTGCTGACAAAAGAAGCGCCACACCAGCGCTGCAGAGAGAGGGACGAGTGTACAACCAGATCCTGGAGTCCTGTCTGTGTTTAGGGTTAGGAAACAAAAAGCTTTGGATGAGATTGGAAAGAGTCTGGTTTTAGTTCAATGTTAATAGACATGTACAGTAGATATTGTAATGTGTGATTGGATATTTAGGGGCAAAAGAAAACCTTTCATTATCTGTGTTTCCATAGCAGTTTTGTGCAAAATAGAAGCGTTTTTTTTTTAGAAAAGTCGACAAAACACAGTAGTGAATGTTCTGTGTTTCCATTTAGGTTTTCTCTTCTTGCAATATCATTCCAATTAAACATGGCGACGGATTTTCAGCATCTGCTAATTTTTGGAAATGTCTGTAGCCACTGCAGCAAGAAGTAATGACGAAATGACAGAAAGACAAACATCTTATACAGTATCTGACAGCGGCCATATGTCAGAGATTTCTGGGAGATATTAATATTAATTTGCTTTTTTTTTTTTTTTGGATGTCATGTCACTTTAATGCGTAAAAAGTGATTCCATTTCAAATTTGTGAAATATTGCTTTGTGGAATTGTCTGAATAACCAACTCATGAGAGCGCAGGAACGTTTTGCGGCATTTGAGAGTTTTTTTGAAATTCCACTGCTGGTTTTTTAATTCGCAATTTCAAATTGTGCATGTACATAATGGAAACGTGGCCACTGATTCGTTCAGTATCACTTCTTTCCCCCACATTTCCTCATTATGTTGCTAGAAAACATAATTATGATTCCTCCCAATGTATGTACTTTTTGCAGAATAGTTGCAAATTATATATATATATATATATATATATATATATATACTGATTTTGTGGGACAAAGGGCTGAACTTTGACACGAGACACCTCTATTTGCTTCCTTCTATCTACCAATAACGATTTGTTTCAGAACCCAACCAAACCTTAACCACAGCACAGCTGTCAGGTCAGAGAAGGCTAATATTAATTCATTTTCTAAGATTTATATTGGTGATGTAAGGTGGCCCTGAAACTCAAGGCACTACAACTTGTGTGGAAAACACATGCAAATACACACAACGCTAGCAAATTCAGAAATGGGCTGCAACAAACAAAGACAGAAGTATTTCCAGGGGACACAAAACAGTGATGAACCCAGCTGAGACACACTTGTTGTTCAATACTTTGTGACTTTTGAAGTTAAAAGCATTGAACAAGTGCACATGAATGTATTAATAACATCCATGGAGGTGTTTCCCAGCCAGGTTCATCACTTTTTATTATCCCCTGGAAACTTCCATTGTCATCTGTGCTATTTGCAGCACGTTTCTGAATTTGCTTGTGTTTTGATTGTTTGCATGTGTTTTGCTCAAGCATCAATCTCCGGGGCTGAAAACTGAAGCCAACACTTAAGTACCAAAAACTGCAGTTCCTCTAATGACCACTGGAGTCTGGCTCCAACAGTGAGTCAGTCCCCATAGACTCCCATGTTAAAATGTCCGACTTTACAGCATAAATTTACAGCCTGGTACAAAAACAGTTTTGGTCTCTGTAGCTAATTTCCTCCTTCATGACAACTGTTTATATAACTCACCTGTTTACATTTCATTAAGACTGCAAGTTATGTAGAATTGAGGGCGTAGCCTCTTTGAGTCACAGGTGGAGGAACAAACCATCATGAACCAAAGTCTCGGCTCCACACACACCCCTCCTCTTTCCCATTTTTAGGTTTGCTGGGAGTTAGGGGCGGAGTCAGACACTGCCAAGATGGCGACGGTGAAGCAGCTCACTCTGAGCTTCAAAACTGCTCTTCAGAAACCTCTGGGTAACGTCTCAGAGGCTACGTCTATCTTTATTTACAGTCTATGGTTTTCCTAAATTGCAGTGCGTTGAGCTTTCAGGGCCACTGTAGTTAATACATTGACAAAAACACATTTGTATGTGTCATTATGGAGCAGTTTTCTGTCATTGTACTTGGACAACACCAAAACTACGATGTAACGTGATAAAGGTCTCATGAGTGAAATCAGAAAAAAATATCTGTCAGGTGTAGTTCTGCCAGGTCAAGTCCATCTGAACCTCAGACGTGATTTAACTCAGCATGTGGTTTCAACAGCCTCGCCACCATCACTGTCGCACACACACACACACACACACGCGCACACATACACACACACATGCACACACACGCACACACACACACACACACACACGCACACACACACACACAGACACACACATACACACACACACACACACACACACACACACACACACACACACACACACACACGCACACACACACACACACACACACACACGCACACACACACATGCACACACACGCACACACACACACACACACACACACGCACACACGCACACAGAGACACGCACACACGCACACACACACACACACACAAACATACACACACGCACATACACATACGCATACATACACACGCACACACACACGCACACACACACGCACACACACACACGATACCACTGACATTTACCCCAGCATGGTTTCTGTTGAACCGGGGTAGTTTCAGTGTCTTGTCTGCAGTCAGGGAGCTGTGCTGCTTGATCACAGGGCTGATCTCAACCTTTCTCAAACACATTAGCATTTTCTCCTCTGTGATAATGATGGTAGGTCTCTGACATTTCATGTGTGGTCCTCTGGAAACTGTGAACGAGAAAGACTGATTCTTTGATCTCTGTGCACTTGAACAGTGAAGGTGAGAAAAAAAAAGAAAGGCTGCATATAAATGATCAGTTGATGCAGTTCTTGTTCTCAGTGGTGTCAGCAGATTGAATCAGTATTCTCCAGTGTTGGTGCGTTGCCTTTTATCTCTTTAAAACCTGTAAAAGTCTTTCAGTAGCTCATCCTCTAACGAGTGTCCTCTTCCTGCAGCTCTTTGTCAAAGAAGCCTCCAGATGTGACCAAGTCTCGCAAGATGAAGACAGAGCATCTGCTCAAAGTAGATGATCATGACTTCACCATGAGGCCGGCGTTTGGAGGTAAGTGCAGAGACGTTTTAGTAAATCATTTTCCTTTTTTCCTTTTTCCTTTTTCCATTTATTATCACAAACACACAGATTCATTCAGCAGCTCATAAAGCTTTTTTTCCAAAGCTTTAACCACAGCTCATGTGCTGAGTTGTCTTGTCAGCTTCACTGATGATGACTTTGAGAGGTGGTCAAAAGCTCCAGAAAAAGCTTATAAGTGGACTTTGAAGTCAGTCTTTTGTAGAAAACCAGTATCAACAGAATATTTATGCCTCAGTTTACATCTATGTCTGTTCAGACCCTTACAACATGAAGTGAAGACTGATTTTCCAGTGAGGCAGTTTTTTGTGTTATAGGGGTCTATAAATAGAATTGATGTGACTTGACTATGTTAAGCTTTGCTGTTCTTGTTCTGCTGTATGTCGCCGTATTAGTGTGTAAGTTTATTGAGAGAAACAAAAGACCGACTCAAACTCGTATATGTTCAGATGCTGGGCTGATAAAGACAAGACATAAAGTTGCAGCCATGACAGTAGACAAAGCTTCAAATGTGGATGTTGCTGCAAAGAAGCTACAAATTGTAAAACATGGCTGCTGCACACACATCTTCAACCAAACAATCAGATCAAAGATCTGTACAATCACAATATCAGTGTCACCAGTTCAATTGCTGACCAAATGTGAAATATGGTCACAATCTCCCCTTTCTGAGTTACGGTGTAACCGGAAAAGTCTTTTTGCCATAGACTGTAAATAGCTGCTCCACTGTTGCCATCTTGGCAGTATCTGACTCCGCCCCTAACTACAGCTAATCCACAAATGGTCAAAGAGCAGGGGCGTGTGTGGAGCTGAGTCTTCAATGAATGCTGGTTTGTGACGAGCATACGTTCACCCACCTATCATTCATAGAGGCCATGCCCTCAATTCTACATAACTTTAAGCCTTAATGAAATGTGAACAGGTGAGTTATATAAACAGTTGAAGGAGGAAATTGTAACATAGGAGTCTATGGGGATTGACTCACTAGTTGGAGCCAGACTCTAGTGGTCATTAGAGGAAGTGCAGGTCTTGGTACTGAAGTGTTTGTTGATGCTTGGTTTTTGCAGAACGTTATAATGTCACTGTGAAGTTGACCTTTGACCTGTCATGTCATCACTTAGTTGTTATATCCTATTAGACATTTGTGTTGAATTGTGTCATTATTACCATATTAATTGGTGAGTTATGATCAAAAACATGTTTTGTGAGGTCACAGTGACCTTGACCTTTGACCTTTCACCATCAAATTCTTATCAGTTCATCCTCATGTCCAAATGAATGTTTGTACCAAATTATAAGAAATTCCCTCAAGTTGTTACTGACATATAGAGTTCATAAGAATGAGACGGACAACAATTCTCTTCCTGCTGATTTATGATTTTTCGATTATTTGAGTCCCCTAACCCTGCAGCTCCAAACTGAATATGAGATCCAAGCAGCATAACATAATTTTCATAGAAACAAACACAATCTTCTATGAATGTCAGAAAACACTAATTCAAAAAGATCAAATAAACTGATTTCATTTGAAGTTTATTGTAAAATAAACTGTCAAATGCAGTCCAAATGCAGTGTTATAGACATCTTTCACAGCAATGAGCATTGCTGTGAAAAATCAGTTGCATGTCAGCACTTGTTGCGTCTGCGCTGATGTCTCATAATTGATTGGTGTTTGACATGTTGGGCTCTTTGATGTTAAACCATTTTGAAGTATCCATCGCCTCCTGTAATCATCTCAAAGCATGAAGCATCTCTCCACATTAATCCTGCTCCATCAGCAGGTCGGCCAGTGCTGCGGCAGAGAACAGACATGTTTTTTGTCCTGCTGGAACACAGGAACAGCTACATCTAAAGCTCTTGTTCAGGCCGACAATGTCACTTATATCCTGTGCTGGCTTTTTAAGATGAGTCTCTTAGTGTGGCAGATGCTCGAGCATTGAGAAGTTGTTCCCCAACTTATGAAGCTTTTCAGATGTCCCATTGGTGTTGTTCAGAGTGTGATCTAAAGACCACAGTTCAGAGGACGGTTTATGCACGCCCTCATATATTTTCCAGGCATGGGTTAAATGTAGAGATAGTAGTATTTTATCACTGGACTGCTTCAGAAAGTAGCTCAAGGCTAGGTCTTTGTTAACATGCTTAGAAGTGTGCGCCTCTTATGTCTCTTTTAAGCAATCAAATGAAACTTGTTGGATCTCCTGAAAACTCAACTGAGCTTTCATAAAGACATTTGGAGACGAAGATGCACCCACATCTCTGCTCTGAAACACAATGGGAGAAGAATAAATCTTCTTTTGACTCGTTTGGAGTTCTACTTTGTTGGTGAAGAGGATGGAACCATAATTAAGAGAGTTAGTGGCTTCTCCCCCGTCACAGTGAGGCAGAGCGTTTAGCAGGAGGTCACAGTGGAAATGGGACTAAAAATAACTGGCACAGAGTCCCAACAGAGGATACACGGCTGCAGTCACATTAGTATAAAGATTCTTGTCCTCCGCCCTGTTTCTCTCCACAGGGCTGCTGCCTCCAGATGTGTTTAAAGCCTCAGCCTTTTCTATATTTAATAGCACTTTACCATGGTTTTTACAGCAGAACAGATAAGTAAGCCACTGGATGAGCTGCATCAGAGTGAGAGAGGCTGGAATTGAAAAAGCCCCCAACACCACTCCCCACCCCCACCCCTTCCTCCAAATAAGCAAGTCAATAACAGACTCAGAGCGAAAACAGCTGCTGTTATCCAAATGACAGACTTGAGGTTGCTGAATGTAGATATAAAGTTAGATAATTAAATAAAAATGATGGATTTTTTACATCTTGTGTTTTGCTTCATGACTCGAGGCAGGTGTGGAGAGAATGATGGTGGTGCAGAGTAGATCTCAAATCAATATCACAATTATTTCAAACTTTTACCTTGAGTATGATTAATGATCCATTACTTTGGGACTGATTGGCCTCCCTCTTTTTTTGAACCATGCTCTTTACATATTAGATAATGTGAATGTGTTCTAAGTCGGGTTGGGCGATCTGGCAAAAGGATCATATGAAAATCTTTTTTGGGTAGAATCCTGATCTTACGATCTTAATCATGATCTGTATCCTGTTTCCGTTTTGATTTTATTGTGAAAATCCTGACTGGAAGTTGTGATTCGTATCTTTCTGTCTATGTTTAAGTAAGATCATCCACAATATAAGATCATCAAATCGCCACCCCTGGTTCTAAGAGAAAAAAAAATGGTGGTGTTATCTTTGGTCGCTATCCATGATGCATGGATACATGATTCATGTTTGACTGGTAGTCCTGACTGATAAGGCCCAATCAGGAGGCGAGGCGGGTATCTGTGGTATCATTTCTGCCTGTTCAGGCTACAACTCAACCTTGAATTTTTCAAACTAAAATAGGTCCAGCAGAGTTTCTGAAAGTCTCTATTTTAGAGACTCAAAAACTTGCAGAATTCACAGAATTGGTTGAATTTGCATTCATTATTGCAATCGCAACATTGTGACTTTCTGCAGGGATTGATCACTAGATTTTTTGGGACTTTTGGAGGCAGCAAAACCAACTGAAGCATAAACCTTCATATTAAAGCTCCATATTTTCCTCTTCTTCTGTGTTTTATTTGAAGTGTTGATCCATAAGAAGCTATATTTGTGGTTTTAAGAACCAAAAACCATCTCAATGTAGTTTTACATCTCCTCTCTCAGGCTTCTCTCTGGAGCTCTAGTAACAACAGCTCTATGAGCCAATCAAAAGAGAGGAGGCTCTGAGACTCAAAAGAGGCGTGATCTCTTTGTTGTGACATCACAAAATTCCTGACGGCTCGTTTTAAGGCTCATTTTCAGAATACAGGCTGTGTGCGTTTCTCTGTGGACTGTGTGCACAGTATTAATAGAGAACCTAGACCTGCTTTATAATGAAAGAACACATGGACATCTACATTTATACTATATGGGACCTTTAAGTCCCTGATAATTTTTTGGTTAATTACACAGCCCTAGTGTAGAACAAAGCTAGGTTTTCCAATGTGTGTCTTTTCATCTTGTAAGATTTTTTAACCTGTGCCTTTGCCCTTATTGTTGCTTTTACTGGTGGTTTCCCTGATTTCCCATGAATCTCGGCAAAAGGCAAAAGGTGAATGACACATATTTGAAAAAGCACACACAGACACACAATTGTCATAAGATTTTGGAGAAGTGTAGGAATAGTATAGTATAATAGTATAATAATAGTATATTTGATTATTAAGGTCATAGTTATTATTTGTCACATACACATGTTGTTTTCCTTCGTTCACACAGATGAAGTGTAGAAACGTACATCTCATTATATGAGGGTTTTTTGACAGTTGATATGACATCAGCTACCATATAACAGCTGTTTATACAAAATTACAACAGCTCCTTACACACAGTGTTGACTTTTATTTCTTCCTCATGCTCTCTCTCTCTCCTGTTGAATGCTGTGTAGAGCTGCTGTTAGTGAACACTGGTTGTGGGAAGTCGATGACAACTCGCTACTTTTCTTGTGCTTCAGAATAATAACTTGACCTCTCTGGAGATTCAGTGCTGTGCACAAATCCCTTGTGTTCAGCTTCTTCATGTCTTGACAACTGTTATTGCCTTTGCTTCTCTTTAGGTCTGACGGAGACAGTTTATTCCAGTAACAGAAGCACAGTGGACCAACAGTAGTTGTAGCGTTGTATTGAACCCTGAGCCTTGTTACTGCATTACCGTAAATCACACAGAATACGTGCAAGGGAAAAAAAGAACTGAACAACCGAACTGGGAAAATTTGGTGTTGTTCGAAAGGCCTCATTAAGAAACAGGTCCCTTCAAAACCTTGTGCCTCTAGCTCCTTCCTAGATGGAGAAGTTGCACAGATGTCCCTGTTTTCCGGGGACAGCCCCATTTTTGGTGGCCTGTCCCTGGCAGGAGCTGTCCCAAGAAATGTCCCCATTTCTAACTGTGAATTAAAAAAT